TGTGCGTATTGGATAAACCAATTGGCCGGCATATATACTCGTAAGTAGCCTATGTCCGTCTTCATTCCATTTAGTTCGTGAATACCAAACTTCATGACGATCGGTTGAGCCGTTAAGGTGCTACGAAGTAACAAACAAGCTCACTTTTATATTTGTTATACTAGTTGTATCCCGTGGCTTTACACGTGTAAATCAGTATATAAAGTATCCTATGTTCCAATCTACGATACGACCTATCGATGTACCAAATTTTATTAAAACGCGTTTAGTAGTTTTTAAGGTAAAGAGTAATAAACATCGATCTATACTAATAGGCTGTGAGAATAACAACATAATGTAAGAGCTTTTGAATTTATAATAATAATAGAATTTGTAAGAATGTTGTAAATATATACCTAAAAATAAAGATTATTGTACAAGTTCAATGACCTTTTGATTTATTACATGTACGTACGAAAATTAAAACAAACCTAGATTCCCTCTACCTAAGAGACGTGACATTAATGTAATAAAATACATATAAATGTGATGAAATTTTATCTACAGACACATATGAATGTATCAAGATCAATAACAAATCGGTGATCCTTTATCAAGAATACACATACTCCAGGAAATGCTCGACCAGTTGGAATTGGTATTGTTCCAAAAAGACAATGTTGCAATGTAGAGCAAAGTTGAAGTTTAATGGAATAGGAGATGTCGTTGAAGCGCGGTTACAGCACAATCACTCACCGCCAAGACTCTTCAAGTCTGCTGATGGAAGTTACTTTAGAATCTAAGTTTGTTTATACTTGTTTTTTTTTTTTGGGTGTATTTTATATTTTGACGTGCCCCATTTTGATGGGTGAAAATGGTATGGTAATCCCGCCTGCACTAACGGGATACGCTGGCGGAGCACCAGTGAAGGGTAATAGATGAGAATGAAAACAGGCCAGTTAGTCCATCATGATGAATTCATCAGGAATTAACCATGATAGTTTCCAGGGGGAACCGCGAGGAGGTCGACCTGGTTGGGTATATTGATAGCAATGGGATTCCCAGTCTCCATCACTAACAATTTCTTTCCCCCCGGCGTGCCCCATTAGGCAGACGCAGGTGCGCTACGCTCCCAGTTTACGCGTTTACGCTCGCTTCCACCGGGGTGGGGGGTAAGGATTTAGAAATGGGGAGTGTGTTTGGAAAATATGTTTTATGTATTTATTAATTTGGGTGTAGGTGTGAGTTTCTATTATTATGTTTGGTTTTGTATTATTATGTTTTTAAGGGTGGAATTTGGGAATAACATGTGTGTGTTTGTTTATTGGTGTCGTAATGAGTATCTGTAATTGTTTAGTTTTATAATATGGTATTTAAGGTTGTATTTTGTGTAGATAGATAGAGAATTTATTTGCATTACTTACAGCACACAAACAACAATAGACATAAATGCACAGTGAAAATAGATAAAAAAAGACACATGTTTGTGTATGTTTATTGGTTGTGGTTTTGGGGATCAGTCTGCTTGTCGCGATAGGTTTGTGTGAAGGCGAGTTTGGGTGATTTATTGTTCGTTTACACTTGTGTGTTTCATATATATGTAGACAATTGTCTGCAAATACGTCGTTTCATATTCATTTATGGTCTTGGCAATTTAATAACTGCAAATTATTAAAGAGTTATTATTACATTCAATTTAATAATTGTTGTGTGATTAAAAACTTCGACAGTCAGCTAATCACTCTTAATTAAGTTGCTGGTAACCACAAGTTCATACTGTTATATTTTAATGTACTAACAACCGGATTGACCTACGTGTATTTTAGTCGAGTATACTTGACTAATTTCGGGACCATCCGGGACCCTTAGTCATGAGCGGTTGTGACGCGATCACTACCTTGACTGAATGTGTACTTACGAAACTTTTAACAATAAAAATCATACTATTAGTATATAATTTAATATTATATTTAGATTGTGGATTTAGGTCGTATTTTTAATGTCAAGTGTAAACTTTAACCTCTTTATAAAAAGTAAAATCTCTTACAAATCTATTGTAACTATGTGTTTAATCACGTTCTTTCATATCGGAAATTTAATGCAAAAAACAAACATTAAAAAAAACATGCATAAATGAAATAAGTTCTTAAAATGATTTACGTTTTTACGACAATGAAGGTTGGAGTTTAAAATGAACATTTATATTGTCTTGTACATGTAAGCATTTAAATTGTTTCGAAAACAACTTAAAACACTACGAATTTTAGGATAGTGTAATTAAGGAATCTACCTCAATTTAGTTCTAATGTAACTTATTACATTTTATACATAATTTTGTGTGATTGTCGAACTTGGATTAACGTTGCTTTACGCAAATAATGTCCAATGATCACTTTTCCGTTGACTTAGCCCACATACACTCAAAATAATCATTACTATTTGTATATTTAAAATGTGCATACATGTTTAATCATAAGTTGTATGTATGATTGTTATCAAGTATACAATATGTGAAATAACATTTCTTGATGTTGATGAAAAGTTATCAAAACAATTTTGTGACTTTACAAATATGTACATGACTATGCTAATCCCGTGTTCAATATGTTATTCGATTAAGTATAAAAATTTTGTCTTTGTAATGTATAATGTATATTAATTAATATATAATATAATTTATATCACGATATATCTATCTTTTATTTCTTGTATTATTATCATAGGCTGCCGCTTATAAACGTTTGCATTGCTTGGTACAATCACAGGTTGGTATTACAGGCACTCATAGGCTACGGTAATCCCGTTTACCATCAGACAGACCGTATGTTTTCTTGTATCAGCTGCTTACTGGGGATTTTTTTTGAGTGAGAATGGAAAAGTATCCCCGCCTGCGCTATCGGTTTACGCTGGCGGAGCACCAGTGAGAGATGATAGGTAAGAATGAAAGCAGGTCAATTAGCCCATCGTAAATAATTCCACGAGAATTAACCACGATGGTTTCTAGGGGGAACTGCGTGGGGGTCGACCTGATAGGGTAAATTGCTAGCAGTGGGGCTGTTAGACCCCATTACTAACAATTCCTTTCTCGCCGCTCACTGAGGTTTTGCCAGTAGTTGCAACGCTTGGCAGGCGGGTTGGTAACCGCAAGTAGATCTTTGGTGATGTTTTAAGAGGGAAGCTGCTGCCCATCTCTCCACCATAAGTTCCTTTAGTCGCCTCTTACGACACCCACGGGAAAGAAAGAGGTGGCCTACGTCGGGACCTATTTAACTACACCGGTTTGTCACCTTAGTAGTGTAAAAAAATGTCAACTGGGACTGAATTTAGTTCTGGAAATAGTTAAAGTAAATATTGATATCAAAGTATTTGAAATGGAGGGAATACATTAATAACTATAATTGGAATTTGAGGGTTTTACTAATATATGCAAAACACAAAATAAACACGACGATAGTTAAAATTAAAATATCAAAAATATAAATACAAACAAGAATATTTATATAAAAATATTAGCTGACTCGGCAAACGTTGTTTTACCATATACGTTATTTCGAGAATTATACATGAAAATTTATCCTACTACAATTATTATTTCGATTGCCATCTTGCAAGCCTATTCGGTATATAAAAATCGCGATTAAAAAAAAGGGTTTGATCCTAAAAGCGTGAAAATTTGAATTTGTATGTATTATTTTTCAATGCTAAATCATATTTAAATAAAAATAAAAAATTTAATGATGAATATAATTAAAATTAATTATTTAATTATAATTCCATTTGAATCGAAGCATTTGGCGTTCCATTGTTTCTGCCTACCCTAATGAGAGAGAGGCGTGACAGATGTAGTATGTATGTATGTAAAAAATTTTGTCATAAAATAAAAAAAAACTTTTATGGGAGGGTCACCCTTATCATTGAGGGGTATAAAAAATAGATGTTGGCCGATTCTCAGACCTACCCAATATGCACACAAAATTTCATAAATATCGGTAAAGTCGTTTCGGAGGAGTTTGGTAACAAACACCGCGACACGGGAATTTTATATATTAGATAGTAAATAGTTCGCTAACTATAAAACCATGTAATTAAATCTATGTAGATTTAAAGTGTCATAAGTAATAGTTTAGAAAATGGCCCATCAATGTACCAACTTATATATCAAATCCATTTTCGCGCATGTTTGAGTTGTCATCGTCATATCAGCCGTTAATTGTCCCCTACAGAACATTGGTATCCCCTTGGTGGGTTTGCCAGTAGTTACTGTGTTTGGCAGGCGGGTTAGCAATCGCAGTTGCTAATGAGGGATTATTAAATTCCCTTTATCGCGTCTTACGACACCCACGGTAAAGGAAGGAGTGACTCGTTCTATGCATGATCGAGTATTTAACAAATTACCCAAAAATTACACAAAATTTTTACTTTGAATGTAATGTTAAAAAAAATAAAAGTTAACTCTTCAATTTCTTTCAAATAACCAGAATCGTACGATATCATCTCAGTAAATCACAGGCCAGTGATTCTTTTCAAGGGATACACCTACTCTAAGAATGGTTCAAGGCACCTGATTCGATATTGTTCAAGAAAAGCATCGCTACGCTGCTCAGCCCGGATAATACTCGACTCTTCCGGAGAAATCGTCAAGGCTTGTATGGAACATAATCATCTACCTCCCAATCTCGTAAGAACCTCAAAAGGATCGTATTACAGGATGTGATAGCTAAATATATTAAATAAAGGGTGAAAAAGAATGCTAACATTTTTGAGTCTTTAGAATTCATTAAAACGAGTGCTTCATTTTTTTATTTATATTTTATTGTATACGTTAATAATATATAAAAAATATGACAGATGTAATCAAATGTACAAAGGCGAGCTTTATTGTAAAAGAGTTGTTCTTTGGAACACAATCTTTAGTTATTATTAAATTATTTCATATCTTCTTTATGTTTTTTTTTTTAATTTCTCAAACTATTTTAAATAATATAATAACCAAAAGTGTAATCAATAGAATTAAATACATGTCCTACAATTTTCGACTATCGCTTGACATTTACAAGTTACGCAATCAAAGGCGGGACGAGTTTTGAAATTAGACGAGTATTTAAAAAAATCATTAAACTCGATTTTTTTTATACAACTTAGAATGGCAAACAAGCTGACGGCCCCCCTGATGGAAAGTGGTAACCGTCGCCTATAGACATAAACAGTACCATGAACATAACAGAGTATACTGTTTCACCCATGATACCCCCCATGCGTTGCCATTCCTGAGGACTCAGGTGTTATTCCTCTGTACCCTGTAAATTCACGCCATATTCCACCCTTCAAACCGAAACACAGCCATGCAAACACAACTGTTTTACGGTTGAAACACGAATGGGACAGAGGTATCCAAGCAAACGACTTTTGTACAAAGTCTCGATCCGGTTCTTATTATAATTAAAATTAATATACATATGTTAAGTAATTCTTTGTTTTTCAAATAATATCAAAATGTATTCTAATTATGCTCTAAAAACGATATAAACCTTTGTGTAAAAGTGACGCGACATTCTTTTCAGTCAGACCAGTGTTGATGGCAATTTGCTATATAAAGAACTTATACATACCAAAAGAAGACAGTCTAAATCAGGGTCGGACAAGGCCGGAAGACTAGATAATGGTAGTTGAACCAGTTGGTATCGGCACCGCAAGCCCCGCAAGCCGAGCCGTGGGGGCCCCACGTAGGGCCTCGACTATATGACCAGCCCGACGCTGGTCTCAATTTAATATTTACTGTCTTAAAAAATCAACGCTATGTTGTGCAGCCATATAGAAATTTGACGATCACTGTAAATACTTTAAGCTTGTACAGAACGTAATCCGCCGCAAAAGTTATACAAGCCGTGTGATGGAAAGTATTTAAAAATTTGAATAGGTGAGGTATCTTTTTAAATTTTAAAATACATCTCAGTCCAAGGGTGTATATTATTTTAACCCCCTCATTCATAAGAACGTCAAACCCTCATAATTTTATTTTAGCTATTGAACTGTTTTATCTTTATTTTGGTACTCAATTCTTAATTTGAAAACAGGTGACAAAACTTTGTAATAGTTAAAATTGTCTTATAGAAGTTTTTAGTTTTTATGAATAAGGAGGTATGGGTAACTCTCTTAGGGTTAATTACACTGACAAATAGCTCCTTCATTTGTCAGCGAACTCCATTTGACGACAGACTTCTAAGTTTTATTACACTGTCAAATGTACAAAATGGTTATATATGTTTTAAAAACATAAACTACCTATGTTACTCATAAGAACTATAATCTTCTATGATCCAATATCATCATATTATTTTTCAGGTGCACTACCATACGAGGTTTTGCCTTCAGGGAAAGGCAAGAAAAACTTAATTTTGGTTGACGGTAATACATTTTCGGTGCAAGGTCAAAACTTGTATATTTACTACTGCTCTAGAAAGTCCAGCATTGGATGTAAAGCAAAAGTTAGGTTAAACAAAAACCAGTTAATTTATAATGCAGACTTGGTTCATAACCACGAACCGCCGATATTACACCGAACCAGTTGTGGGACAGTTTTAAAATTAACAACAAGGCGAAAACACTAATTTTATTATTATGATTACTAACTTAAAACAGTTCTATGATTTATGGTTTTGTTGACCGACTTCATAAAGAAGGAGGTTCTCATACATATCGACCCCCACGAGAAAGACCCCACGAAAAAGGAGCCCCATTCAATGCACCATTCTTCGATTAATTCCTAATGGAAGGTTAGAAGTATTTGCCAATAGTAATAGTTGCCTAATGGTGCATACTAACTATTGCATAATTAATGCAATGGAAGGGAATTAAAATGAGCAACTGCCTTATTGAGATATTACTTTATTAATATTTTTAATTGTATTATTAAATTTTTTTGTTATTGTATTTTTTTTTTATATATGGATTTAGTTGTACACAATAATTTAAGCCATTTATGTATTTGTATATTTCGAAATTTAATTAGAATTAGAACTAGGTAATATAATAATAATTTTGACAAATTACGTACCATTTTAACGGATCTACAAAGATTGGTGCGACTAGACCAGCATTTGTACTAGATGGACTCAGTTGAAGGAAACCTTTGCCCAGCACTGGGCTATCATAGGCTATGATTGATTAATTGATGTACCACTTATACTTAATTTAATTAACAAATGTTGAAAGCGTAATGTGATAGCCTAGATTAATTTTATTTAAATTTATTTTTTTATACGTTTTGTTCGACTCTATGTATCCTGATTCACATAACTTTAGGAACACCTGTTCAAAACTATACTTATTATATAACTTTATTTTGGTAACAATATTATTTTTATTATTACATGCTTACGATCAATAATGCTTTTTATTTATACTTTAGAATTATTTGTGATATTTGATTTAGTTTTTTTTTTTGTGTATGTTTCGTGATATATTCCTTATATCTGAACCTAATTTCATTGTTCATTTAATTAATTAAAATTATTTATCCACATATTAGTTCCATAGTTGTTCGTCAGAAATATAGGCTTTTAAAGAGAAATGCAAATAGGAATCTATTACGACACAGACATCCAAAATGGCCGAGTCCAATTCCGACTAATTTAGTAACTGAACTATTTATTAAATTTTTGCCACCAGATGGCGCTACCTTTAAATGTGTAGTAGTGGTATTAATATGGTATATAATTTTCAGGTTTAATATCATACGAAATACTGCCATCAGGGAAAGGAAAGAAGAATCTCATACTGGTGGACGGTCATACATTTTCCGTACAAGGCGGTAACCCATCTACGTATTATTGTTCCAGAAAGTCGAAGGTCGGCTGCAGAGCGAGAATTGGTTTGAATCAATATCAGTATATAGTGTCCATGCATTTGGTACATAATCATCCTCCGCCAATCATATGCAGAACCTCGGATGGTTTTGTTTATAAGATAACCAGACAATAGCCATAACATATTAACAATGTCCCACTGTTGGGCATGGATTTCTCCCCATAAGACGAGTAAAATAAAATGTAGAAGAGACTGTATGCACATGTTCTAAGAATACTCATTTTTCTATAAACATATTTTTCAAGTGTGTGCGGATATACAAATTTGAAAATTTGAAATTACATTAAAAAATAGCGATAAATACTCAAAAGATTCTCGAAAGCGATTTTTGATAACTGCATTAATTAATTTAATAATTAATTAAATTAATATTAATAATTAATTAATTGCATTATATTAGTTAAAAAAAAAGTATTGTAATCAACTGAGAATCGAACCCGTCGAATTTAAAATAAAAGTATTATTAGTGCACAGCTTCTACTTTATTTTATTAAGTAAGTCTTCCGTGTGTAAGGTAAATTAGTTAACAGTTTTTAATAACATTAAGTACGTATTTTAGTAACATTAAGTAATATATATATATATATATATATATATATATATATATATATATATATTATATATATATATATATATATTTATATATATATATTTATATATATATATATATATGTATATATAATTTTATATATTAAATTATCTATTAAAATAAAAAAGATTACTCAAAACAACCATACAATACTTTATTTAACAGTAGACAGAGTAACATAAACAAAATGTATCCCATCAACGTGTGGGCTCCATAAATTTATATGAACATATAAAACCTACTTCAACATTATGTAAGATTAAAAAAAAAGCATAGATATTATATATATATATATATATATATATATATATATATATAAAGCTTATTATCATGTTAATATACATTTTTTCATAGTATAAGTAGAATAATTTTAATTTTAAGTTACATATTAAGATTATTATTGTTGCATTTTAAATTTAAATATTATTAAATTGTCATAGATATTTATTTATCGACAGTTTATTATAACAGTTTATATTTTATTAAGATGCGATTTTTTACGTAATAATTGTTTAAGATTTTACCCCACAAAAATATAGACTTTAATTTTGGAAAATTTTACAAAAGTGAATGTGTATTATATAGGATCGTGTCGATTGTGAAAAGAATGATTGAAATCGGTTCAGATTGGCGAAGTGGCCGCGCAATATATAAAAAAATATGATCATTATACGTAAAACTATTATCATACGTAAAACTAAAAAACCAAATCTTTTTGTAATATGGATAAAATCATATTACGCCGACCCCAAATGATTGGGATAAGGGTAGGAAGATGATGATGATGATCATTTGTAATAAATTAATGAAAATCACAAATATCAGAAAAAATAGATGCGTATTCTAGCAGACTGCAGAACTTATTTGTTTTATTTAATAATTACTAATTACTAATAATTAATTGTTTTATTTTAAAATTTTCTATCCTTTCGACTTTTTAGTTTAAACATCCCTGTTATTCGTATTTTAATGTACACTAATTTTTTGTGATGATTAAAGCTATTGTCTTCTATTGTGGAGCAAATACTGCATATTGCAAGTAAAAATCTGCTTGTACGTCTACACACTATTTCGCGTTCTAAATTCAAATATTTTGAATCATAATGTCTTTACGAAATATCTCGTTCACGATCGAAGTGTTTTCTTTGCGGACCAAAATTTATTATAGTAATATTTTTGCCAATTCTATAACTTCAGAAAAAAACTCCGGAAAAAAATTTGTCTTCAAATTGCTACACATCTAAATACCATACTATACCAACCGTTAACTGTCCCTTGCTGAACGTAAGCCTTCCCCATCATGGGGGTTTTGCCAGTAGTTGTCACGCTTGGCATTATTCATTCTAATTAGGTGGTATTAATTTGTAGCTAAAAAGTAAATAAATTGTTTGATGAAATTTATTATTCTGTGTTAAAATATGGTACAATAATATGGTATAGTAAACAAAAGTTAGTTTTACACAATTTGTCATTGTTGTATCAGTTATTCCGTTCTGTGTGTTATCTATTTAAATTAATATCTTCTTTATTGTTCTATCTATTCATGATACTTTAAAATTCGTGTAAGATATATATTTGTACTGTAGATTGAAATGCTCACAAAATTTAGTAGCTATTAGTATTAGTAATATTTATAAGTTGTTATGATTGATAAGTATATTTTCATAAGCTGCGTTTATATTGTAATCATAAATAGTTGTCATAGAAATGTACCGTCTTCTATGTTTTATATACAATAAACTAGTAAAAAAACACATTTTTTAATCTTTAAAAATTTGTCGTTCATGTAAATTATCCATTGAAATGGACTATATGTTGATTTATATTTCATCCAAGCCTCCTTTAGACTTTAATAAAATAAAAATTATGTAAGGATCCTTTCTTACACAGGATAGAATAGGATGTGTAGTGTGTGTAGATATCGGAGTGTTAAAAGCCTCTAACTCTACCTACTTACAAATACCTAAGTTCATCAACTTTCATAACTAGTCTCTTATATACACGCAGGTTTTGGTAAATCTTAACTCTTACATAAAAACCATACAATAACTTTGACCACTATCTGTATCCTGTAATTTGTCCCGCGTGAATCAGTACATAAAATATCCTAGGTGCTAAATTAGGATATAACCTACCCGTGTACCAAATTTCATTTAAATTCGTTTAGTAGTTTTTGCGTGAAAGAGTAACCAACCTTAATCCACCCGGATAGAATCTTAGAAGATATCCTTACTAACTTTCATGTTTATAATATTAATAGGGTTATAGGATAGTTTTGTCCTGTACTTGCTATAGCATAGGATAGCTTATGCCCTGTCAAGTATAGGACATAAATTATCCTATATCTGTCTTTCTTTTTCATTCTTTTATCCAACATTCTTTTCATATGTCAAAACTGAAGCAACAATATATTTTTCTTATATCGACTTTTTTTTAAACTATTTCACGTAGTAATGTATTACCAAAACGGTCTACGAGTATTTTGTAGATTCTGTGTAGTGCATAGGTAACAATTACTCTAGCGTTGATAGCATTGATTGATTATAGATACTTTTATTTTCTTTCTTTTTTGTTCAGTTGGGTAACTGTCGTTTCAATACAATTGTTTTCTTCTGTCAAAACTTACTTTATTGATAATAGGGTTCTAACTAACTGGTTATTCTTTCAGGTTTTAAATTTGAGATGATTCACACACCGAAACGCAAGAAGCCACTGATGATGCTTCAGGATTACACCTTCGCACAGACGACCAGCGATGCTCGCTACTGGAACTGCAGCAGGAAGATGTCCAGCAAATGCTCTGCGAGACTCCGATTCAACGAACGCGGTCAACTGGTCTTATACGATCTAGTACATAATCATAGTCCGCCACGGTACTTCAAGACCCATGATGGCAAATACGTGAAATTGTAACTTACGAACGTCATTCAACATCAGCAGTCTTTTTTTTTTTGTCATCAGGAATGACAATGCATGATGGTTGTCATGTACGTCACAATATGTTCTGTGATGACTACTTTGCAGTTTGTAGACTACGATAACTACACTTTCCATCACCTAGGCTAGTAACTTGTTATTTTGAGTTACATAAAAGAAAAGATTTTAAAATGTTTAATTTATTTTTCTATTAAAGATTATATTTTTGATGACACATCAACGAATTTAATTCATAATATTTAGATATGATATATATAAATATCTTTTGATCCGGACGTTCTTAAAAGCGTTCATAATGAAGTATGGCAACGTCGCATTTATCTGTCAATTTTGAATGATTGAATGATTCATTCATTCGTTATTTGTCAATTTTCAATAACAAATGAATGTTTTTCAATGTTTTTGATTGATTATTTAAAAAGCGAACTGAAACGTTAATAATACTATAATATTGTTATTAAGATGCCACAAAAGTTTGGATTTTAGTGGCAAAAATGTATTTGAAAAATTTCTAAGCAAAATAATGATTAGGAAAAAAAATGTGAATTAGGTGCAAAGTATGCACCATAAATTTATATGTAATACATTCATCGTCATCATATCAGTCGTCATCTGTCCACTGCTGAACACAGATCTCTTCCCTATTGGGAGGTTTTGCCACTAGTTCCCACGCTTGGCAGGCAGATTGGAAACCACAGTTATGCTTTAATTCTATTTTTAAAAGGGCGCTGCTGCCCATCCCTTGTCTATTATGTTCCCCTGGCCACCTCTTATAGAATACATTCTATAATTGAAGGTTTTTGTTTGCTAGCAGAGCAGTTTTTAA